TACCCGGTTACTCGACGCTCGAGTACTGTTTGCGTTTTTTGTCGGACATTCGCTTCGACAGAAACTCGGCAAATATGTGATTTGACGAATAATACTCGAGTAGTTAATATTCGTTTTCCACCCTTACCAGCAACGATGTACCCAAAACAGCATTTCACACGCTGTTTGGACATTTTCAGTGGCGTGTGCTGAGCTTCGGTCTGACCAATGCACCGGCCTCCTTTCAGAGGGCGATGAATGGTGCCTTTCATGAGGCAATTGGTCAGTTTGTCTTGGTTTATCTTGATGATATAATGGTATATTCCAAGACCGAAAAGGAGCACACAGAACATGAGTGTTAAACAAACTACGAGAGCAGTTCTATGCTCGCTTGTGGAAGTGTCACTTCTATAAACGCGAGCTAGAATATCCGGGACATCTCGTGGGAAACAGTGGTCTGAAAGTAAATCCCAAGAAAGTGGTGGCTGTTGAGAATTGGCCCGTTCCACAGGACATGGGACAAGTCAGGTCCTTTTCGGGCTTAGCTAATTATTCTTGCCATTTCTTGGAGAATTATTCAACCATCGTTGCCCCATTGACCGCACTTACTCAAAAGGTACTGTGTGATAATGGACCAGACAATGCCAAGAGGCATTTGAAGCGGTCAAACGAAAATTGACCGATGCTCCCGTTATGGTATTACTAGATCCAACAAAACCGTACGAGGTAGCAACAGACGCCTCGACAGTAGGGATTGGTGCAGTCCTCCTACAAGAAGGACGCCCTGTGACATATGAGAGTAGAATGCTCTCTCCGGTAGAGCAGCGCTATACGAATTCCGAACAGGAACTGTTAACAATGGTCCACGCGCTACGAACATGGCGTGCGCTATACGACCTCCGAACAGGAACTGTTGAACAGGACACCGAACATGTTGCTGTCTTTGCAGCTTACTTTGGTATCCTCGCTGTTGCCCAAGTGAGTGAGATTACCTTCAGTGGCTTTCTTAAACGAATCCGCACAGGCTATCTGATTGATTCCTGGCTTCAAATCCTACAAAATACAACCTTGCCTCACAACCTTGCCTCACAGGAGCTCTGGTGGCATGGAAAAGAAATTGTAGTACCACATGTGGGGAGCCTGCGGAACGACATGTTACAAGAAGTGCATGCCAGTAGATACAGTGGACACCTCGGAGTTAAGAAAACCCAATGGGCATTGTCTGACGTATACTGGTGACCAGGGTTGGGCAATGAAGTCCAGCAGTTTGTTACACGCTGCGACACGTGTGCACGTAATAGACTGAGCACACAAAAACTTGGTGGGAAATCCCTGATGAACCTTGGGAGAGTGTATCAATGGATTTCACAACTGATTTCCCCAAAACACTAGATGGTCATACAACGATCCTCGTCTTTGTGGATCGTTTGACGAAGATAGTGCACTTCGTGCCTACAACCACTGACATATCAGTGGAAGATACGGCTAAGTTGTTTGTCGCACATGTTTTGCGTTTACATGGTTTGCCCTGTGTGCTAGTGTCTGACAGAGACCCGCGTTTCACAAGCCGTTTCTGGCAGGAGGTCATTTGGACACTAGGGACGAAGCTGAAAATTTCATATGCATTCCACCCTCAAATGGATGGGTAGACCGAGCGCACAAATCGCACTCATGAACAAATGCTTCATTCGTTTATTGGCCCAACACAAGATGATTGGGATGAGCTGTTGCCAGTCGTGGAATTTGCTGTCAACATATTGAATTGTGACACAATCATCACGAGTGACACAACTCGGTGCATGAGAGCACCCACAAAAAACCTTTCATATTAAATTGTGACCGTTGCCCTCGTTCTCTCAACATATGCTTCGAAAGCGGTTGCCCAACAGCCGGAGCGAACCTCGGATGGTAAGTTCTCCCTCCTCTTTTCCCTCCTCCAATAATGTCATTCTGTAGCATGACGATATTCGTTATGCCGATCACTCACTAGTAGCACTCATCATTACTTAGCTGGAAGTTTCGTTTTTCTTCAGCGACTGTGCTAGGGGTGTATTGTTGCTGCTGACTCAATCACTACCCTGAATCCCCGAGATCTGTTGTCCTTTTGTGTGGGCAGCAGGAAAATATTTGTGTGCTAATGTGCGCAAGGGCAACGGGTTTTGCGACACCAGAAAGGTGAAGTGCACCAACTCGACGATCAAGAAATATATAAGGACAATTGCAACCGAGCTCCTATACTCGCCGGGACGTACCCTGCCACCCACAGGACCGTAATGATGGTGTAATGATGACCGCATCCTGCGTGGCCTACATCATGTTGTCACATCTTGTCAAAATTTCAAAATCAGATTTCGGTTGGCTGGACACATTCTCAAATCATCACTCTACTAAATTGAATCCCTCATCATTAACACTTGTTTCGGTTCTCATAGCATCACATTCTACTTCTGACCTTGGCATCATATTCTACTCACTAACCCACGCCATTTCGCCACATCCTGCTTGGCCCCCATCGTTTGTGCCCTTGTTAGCTAGAGATGTCATCACTGCATGGCTAAAGGGGTGGGCTGTTAGAATCTGGCAGCAGGAATGGTAAACTAACAGCATGCAGGAGTACAAGTAGGAAACCCTAATTTGGTTGTACCCCATATGGGCTACCCCACTACAGCCTAGACAATATGCAGCATACATGTTTGACACACCCCCATAGGCAAAGTGGGGGAGAACAAGGGGTCACACGACCAGTCAAGAGACGCAAAGCAAGCTCAGGGTGGATCTCAACGTCACCACACATTCTGAGCGCAAGCAAAGGGCCGCAAGGCCAGTCCACATGCAGAGATATATATAAGCAACAAGAGCAGTACAGTGATCAATACCTAGCAAGAGCAAGCATGCAGGTATAAATATAGAACACAGTACACACAAAAGACTACAGCAAGTGTGGAAACGTAGGCACAAGGCCTAACAAAGTACAAAAGCGCTGATGATCACCAGACGGAAGTGCCTTGGTGAATATATCAGCAGTGTTGGCCCTAGTGGCCACGTGTGCAAGACGAAGCTGACCACGCTGCTGCAGCTCTCGAGCCAGAAAGTACCGCAGAGCGATGTGCTTCGTTCTGTGCTCCAATCTGTGCTCCTCACACAAGGCAATAGCAGCCTTGTTGTCGACGTACAGCACTGGAGGAGAACGAGGCTGCTCTCCGAGGTCGGTCAGCAGGTAGGTGAGCCAGCGTAACTCCTGAGCAGCCATGGCGGTGGCGTAGATCTCAGCCTCACAACTGGAGCTGAGAACAGAAGACGAGCGAGTAGAACGCCAAGAAACAGAACCAGAGCCAAGGCTGAAAGTGTAACCCTGTGACGACCGCTGCGTAGCCTGGTCGTCAACCCAAGAAGCGTCTGAGTGCCCAGTGAGGACCACCTCTCGCCGTCCTCCAAGCACGAGCCCCATGCCTGATGTACTGCACAAGTAGCGCAGTACCCTCTTCGCAGCATCCCAGTGCACCTTTCGGTGCCGACCAGGAGCCACGTAGCGAGCCAGAAGGCCAAGAGGGTACGCAAGGTCAGGACGAGTGCAAGTCATCAGGTACATGAGGCAGCCCACTAGCTCTGGGTAAGGACCACTCGGCTCTACGGACTCATCCGAAGGCAGAGCTGAGAGCGAGTGACCTATAGCCAGAGGAGTGGCCTGTGCTGAGGACCAGGTGAAGCCGAAGCGCTGAAGGACCTGCTGCACCATGTGTGACTGAGTCAGTGTGATGGTGCGGCGTGCTCGGTCCCGGGTGATCTGCAAGCCAAGGTAGCTGCGCAGCTCACCCAGGTCTGTGCACGTGTGTCTCTTCTGCAGCTCGGACTTCACCAGGGCGAGGGCCTCAGTGTCAACAGTAGCAAAGACCAAGTCGTCGACGTACACGAGGATATAGAACGGCGGCAGCGAAGTGTCGGTGCGTAGAAACAGTGAAGGGTCAGCAGTCGAAGGCGCAAACCCAAGAGCCGCAAGGGTAGTCCTCAGTGTGTCGTGCCACTCACGGGGTGCCTGGCGGAGACCGTAGACTGGCCGGCGGAGGCTCCACTGGGTACCAGGAGGGAACGTCCCAGTGAAGCCAGGTGGGCGGCGCAGCCAGATCTCCTCGTGCAGGCTGCCCTGTAGGAAAGCTGTGCTGAAGTCAAGGGAGTGAAGCTCGTAGTCACGCTGTGCGGCAACGTGCAGCAGCACCCGAAGAGTAGTCATCTTCGGGGTAGGAGAGAAGGTCTGGAAGAAGTCAACTCCCTCTCGCTGACTGAAGCCTCGAGCAACGTAACGCGCCTTGAAGACAGGCGGAGAACCTGGCGGCCGCTTCACCCTGAAAATCCACATGCCATCGACGATGTTCGCCCCGGGAGGGGGAACCTCATCGACGTAAGTGCTTGTGGACTTCCAGGATGCCATCTCTGCGTCCATGGCTGCCTGCCACTGAGAGGAGTAGGGACCCGCAATCGCCTCAGCGTAAGAGCGCGGTGTGGGGATGTCTATAGCATCCGGGTCTCCCTCAGGGGCAAGCAGCATGGCCACGAGATGAGGCGCAGCGGCTGCAAGAGACTCAAGGTCCTCGTGCCTGTCCTCAAGGACGTCCGTGCCAAGGGCACACTCACCCCCGACGGATGGAGGACAGACAGACTCAGACTCAGCAACAAGACTAGCAGCGTAGTCTAGACGACAGGCAGCAGCAAAGTCAACAAGCTCAGCGACTAAGGCAGACGCAGCAGCAGACTCAAACGACGGGTCAGTGACAACAGTGGCTAGCAGACGCATGACAGTAGGGTGCTCAGCACGAAACCGGTCAGACTCAGGGTCCGCGACGACAGGCAAAGAGGACGCAGGGGGAGACGGAAGAGGAGTACGCTCCGGAGTAGGGGACCGACGCAGGGCTACAAGGCGTGTGCCGGGGACAGCCGGCTGACGCGGACGAGGAACACGACGACCGGTACGACTAGGACGAACAGGCGAGACTGGACGCGACGCAGGCTCACGACGCTCAGCAAGACTACCTGTCTGCTCGGTGTAAGGAGAAGGAGCAGGCAGCGGTGAGCCAGGCTGTAACGGAAGACCAGTAGACGACGGGAGAGTAAGAACCTGACGAAGAACAGAGTCAGGCGGCGGCAGAGACGATGGAGACGGCGGAGCGAAGAACAGTCGTGGCGGCGCAGCTGCACCAGTACCGGCAGCTCCAGCAGCTCCAGTACCTCCAGCAGCTCCAGCACCTCCAGCAGCAGAACCGACACCTCCAGGCCCAGGGTCTCCAACCCCAGTGCCTCCAGCAGCAGCACCCCCAGAACCAGCACCTCCAGTCCCAGGGTCTCCAGCCTCCACGTCTCCAGCAGCAGCACCCCCAGAACCAGCACCTCCAGTCCCAGGGTCTCCAGCCGCAGTGTCTCCAGCAGCAGCACCTCCAGACGCAGCACCCTCAGCCCCAGCAGCTCCAGTACCTCCAGTACGAGCACCTCCGGGACCAGCGACTCCAGCACCTCCAGTAGACAAAGTACCAGCACCACTCCTAGCTCCAGGGACGTCAGCAGAAGTACCTCCAGCAGTAGAGCCCCGGGCTCCAGCAGCGCGACCCTGACGGCGACCGTACCAGTCGTGCAGCTGCTGTGAGGTGAGAGGCACACGTGGACGAAGGCGGCTACTCCAAGGAGACCGCGCAACAGCAGACTCTGAACCCTCAGCGCCAGCACCCTCAGCAGCTCCAGCGCCACCAGCACCAGGACCTCCAGCAGCTCCAGAACCTCCAGCGCTCGCACCCTCAGCAGCCCCAGAACCACCAGCTCCAGCGCCACCAGCACCAGGACCTCCAGCAGCTCCAGAACCTCCAGCGCCCGCACCCTCAGCAGCCCCAGAACCACTAGCTCCAGCACCTCCAGACCCCTCACACGCAGGCTCAGCACCTCCAGGCTCCACACTCTCAAGCTCCGCACCCCCAGGCTCAGCACCCCCAGAAGTAGCACCCCGAGCAGGACCACCCCCAGTAGGACCTGAGTCACCAGTGACCTCGACCGGCGCAGGGAAGGGAGGAGGGTCTACCTGAGACACACCTGAAGGAGCAGGACCGGGAGCGGAGAGGGGGTCTACCTGGGGAGCACCCGGAGCGAGGAAGAGCGGCGGGGGAGGGAGAGGGGCAGTGCGGTAGGGGAAGAGACGGTAAAAGGGAACCGACTCATCGAACGTGACGTCCTGAGACGCAAAACCCGGTCCTACGGACCTTAGTGCTCTGATACCATGTTAGAATCTGGCAGCCGGAATGGTAAACTAACAGCATGCAGGAGTACAAGTAGGAAACCCTAATTTGGTTGTACCCCATATGGGCTACCCCACTACAGCCTAGACAATATGCAGCATACATGTTTGACATGGGCCACCGGAGGTGTCCTTCACTAGCTCTAGTTCGTTGGCCCCTCGGGAGTCCGGGCAATCCCAGAGCCACTTCCAATGGCAGATCCTGGATGCGATCCTGAGAGTATACGCATGCGTTGCACATGGCAGCTTGTGGTCTGGCGCCTCGTGTGAGCAGTCGACTCAAGAAATCGTGTTATGCATCATGCCTCGTTCGCATTGCAGTTGTGCTTGCTCCTTGTAAGCTAAAGTTACATGATAGTTGATGGTAGCTGCTTTGAATATACAAGCTTGCGGAGAGTCAACCTACAACGGGAGTGGACTACGGAGGAGGGCACGGGGTTGTGTGGGTGATCGTAGCGCTCTAGTAGCGTTCTAACAGAGTTCTCACTACTTGCTCTGTTCACAGAGAAATTTGGCAAGAGTTTCCAGTAACGAAATAAGAAGAACATTGAGAATTAGAGTACAAAATAAGGCATGTAGGTCGATATCACTAGAATGGCATTGCAACACCTAGTAAGCATTTTGCAGGGCGAATTGCCAGCGCAACATCAGAGCGGCTCGCCAATGCTGAAACAGGGCGACCTGCCAGCGTAGCAGAAGGTCGACATGCCAACGCTGCAGTAGGGCGGCCTGCCAGCGTTGCATTCGCCGGTGAATATCTATGCACATGTGCATACCTACAAAGTAGGTGCACGTCAACGGTTTGACTGTTAGACACATTGCGCAGGTGCTAGGTAGAAAACGTGTCGTCGGTTTTGCCAGGTGTCCACCGTCGAGCACGTGATGCCATTTCGCAGGTCGAATTTTGCTAAAAACTCCTGGGCGAAATGCGCATGCCCTCGCAGAGTTTCGTAGTCGCGCGAATTTGGCTGACTAGTTCGGCGAGACGAGACTCGCCAAACAGCGCCCTTCGATCAGAAAAGCACCTCGTTCGTCAAAGACCGCACGACTCACTAGCACATTAGATGAAGAGCTCGTCAAACGACACCCCGTCGACCAGAGCTCGTCGATGGGCCAGCCGACCAGAGGACTGCCTCCTTGAAAGCCACCCGTCGTTTCAGAGGACCCGCTGGTCGTCTAAACATGAGAGCAAATTCGACGATCGCTTTCGTCGAATTCACCATGGCGCCGCAGAGAACGTCTGCGCCCAAGCAAGGGCAAGGCCTTTCACTTCGACAATCCCCTGCCCAGCTCAAGCTTGGGCCCCCACACACAAGGTCCATCCAGACCTTAAGTAATAGAATACAAGGGGATATTTCGCTGGCATGCACACCTCCGCACGCCGATCACCGCACCAGCCATGTTAGAGGACATGGTGCTGCACATCGTCGTCGTCGCCGACGTTGGCAAGGCGAACTTGGCCGATCGCGATGGAGCACCGGTTGAAGGCCGGAAAATGCAGCGCTTTCGTGAGGAAGTCTGCCGGCTGCTCGGAGGTTGGGATGTATTCCAATGCAATCTTCTTGCGCTTCACCATCTGCTGCAGCCAGGCGTAGCGTCGCTCCATGTGCTTGAGGTTGCCCTTGAGCCCCAAGCCCTTAGCGACCGTGATGGTAGACTGGTTGTTCACGTTTAGAACAGTTGGCTTCCCAGCGTCGAGCAACTGAAACTTGGCGAGGAGGAAGCAAAGTCGACGAGCCTCCTTGCCGGCTTCGGTCGCAGCGTCTTACTCCGACTCTGTCGAAGACAAAGTCACGCACTTGATGTGCTGGCTTGACGAAGAGACAGCTGCGCCACCGAAGACAAAAAATTAGCCACCCATGCTGGTGCAATTTTGTTTTTTGCCAGCGTCATCGGCGTCCACGTAGCCGACCAGTTTCAGAGTTTCGGGTCGGCCCCCCACCAAACTCCAGAGCAACATCGCGCGTGCTAGCGAGATAGGTGAGGCAACGATCGACCTCGCGCCAGTGCTGGTCGCTCCTCACCGTCAGACCATGCCCCAATTTGCTGCATGCGAAAGCGATGTCGGGCCGAGTTGTCGTGGCTGTCAGAATATTGTGTTATGTAGGCTATAGTGGGGTAGCCTATATGGGGTACAACCCAGTTTAGGGTCATACTTGTACCCAACTGTTTGCTAGTCCATCTCATTCCTGCTCGTTAATTTTGACATGGTTTCAGAGCAGTAGGTCCGTAGGACCGCTTTTTTTTCGGGCCCACCATTAGCTAGTGACCGACTGCGGTTACCGCGCTACCCCACGCCCTGCCCTGCGTCGCGCTGCCCGCGCACGCCCTGCCCTGCCCTGCGTTGCGCCGCCCCGCGCACGCCCTGCCCTGCCCTGCGTCGCGCTGCCCCGCGCACGCCCTGCCCTGCGCCGTGCCGCCCCGTGCACGCCCTGCCCTGCCCACGTCGCGCTGTGCCGCGCATGCCCTGCCCTGAGTCGCGCTGCCAGCGCACGCCCTGCCCTGCCCTGTATTGCGCCGCCCCGCGCACGCCCTGCCCTGCCCTGCGTTGCGCCGCCCCGCGCACGCCCTGCCCTGCGTCGCGCCGCCCCGCGCATGCGCTGCCCTGCCCGCGTCGCGATGCCCCACGCACGCCGTGCCCTGCGTTGCGCTAACTGCGCACGCTGTGCCCTGCGTTGCGCTGACCGCGCACGCCCTGCCCTGACAATTGCGTCGCCCTAGGACCCGCGCGACGCCCTGCCCTGCCCGTCGCGTCGCCCTAGGACCCGCGCGACGCCCTGCCCTGCCCATCGCGTCGCCCTAGGACCCGCGCGACGCCCTGCCCTGCCCTGCCCGTCGCGTCGCCCCATTACCCGCGCGACGCCCTGCCCTGCTCGCCGCGTTGCCCTAGGGCCAGCGCGCCGCCCTCTGCAGCCTGCGCACCGCCCTGCTGGCCGCGCGCCGTCACTTCCTGCCCGCGTGCTACGCTTCCGTGTGAACGAACTACCCCACCCTGGCTGCGTGCCGCCCTTCCGTGACCGTGTACCGCATGCTCTACCCTAGGGCCTACTCACCGTCCTGACCTCACTAAGTGCTGCCCTACTGGTCGCAAACCTCCTTACTTGGTTCGCTATGACTTCTCTTCGTGGTAGCGGCAGGAGCGGTGGCAGCGGTGGTGACATCACTTGGAGTGGTGGCGGCGGCCGTAGTGGCAGTCGCGGTGGAGCTGTTCAGTGGGGAGTTTCTGGCGGTGGCCACAAGCAGCCGCAGCGGTGTCCGCGCGAGACCCTTACGTCTCAGCAACTTCGTGAGTGGTTAGCTTAGTGGGACTTTGGGTGTACTACTCGCTGCCCGTACGTCATTCGCACAGGTGATCGGGCTGGTCAGACTTGCGGGACAGTTGGCCACACACAGTCCCGCTGCTTCGCCTATCTGAGCAACGCGTGGCGCGCAGAGTTTGGCGTCTCGTCTAAGCTCCCTCACTGGTTACAGCTACGTCGGTGCGGTGTGGATACATTTGCTCTTGACTATGACACTATCCTTACGGCCATGTACGCTTTGCCTGGTGGTACTGACGGTGACTGCTACCTGTGTGTGCCGCCCGACTTAGGTATAGCGGCTGATGCTCTAGGCGCTAGTGCGTCTGCTCTCTCTAGTATAGAGGCTGCTGCTCTATGTACTAGTGAGTCTGCTCTCTTTGGTACTGCGCCTGCTGAGGCCTTGCACACCTTCACACTTGACTCAGGTGCTTCCCGCTGCTTCTTTCGCGACAGTACCACAGTCACACCACTCCCTGCACCTGTTGCAGTCTCTCTGGCTGACCCCTCCGGGGGCCCAGTTCTTGCACGTTCCTCCACTGTTCTCCCGTGTCCGGCGGTTCCGTCTGGCTCACTGATAGGTCGTCACATCCCCTCGTTCTCTACGAGCTTGGTGAGTACCGCCGTCCTTCAGGATGCTGGGGTTGATACCTTTACCCCCGGAGGACAGCGTGTGGCGATCTGCACGTGTGGAAGGACGGGCCGTCACCTAACCACGTTCACTCGTCGGCCTGGGTCGAGCCTGTACACACTGACTACTGAGCCTCCTCAGGTCGCTGCGTCTGGTCAGGTGTCTGCGTCAGGTCAGCTATCAGCCCCTTATTCGTGTCGCCTCCTTTCGCACCAGACTCTCCTCTGGCACCACCGCCTTGGTCACCCCTCCCTGCCACGCCTCCGTAGCATGCACTCCCGCCTCCTTGTCTCTGGCCTTCCCAGGTCTCTGCCCCCCCTCCCGCGCTCGCCTGCCCCGCCCTGCCTTCCTTGCGTCGAGGGGCGGCAGTGCGCCGCTCCTCACTCCTCGTTTCCCCCGACGACTGCTCCCCTGCAAACTCTCCACATGGACGTGTGGGGACAGGGCCGCGAGCGGTACTTTCTGCTGGTTGTTGACGACTACTCGCGTTACACCACGGTGCAAGGATAAGGTCCCTGCTGTCCTGATCCCTTGGATCCGCGCTGTTCGTCTCCAGCTCCGCGAGCGGTTCCGCACGGGCTTTCTTGTCCTGCGACTGCACTTAGACAGAGGTGGTGAGTTTTCCTCCGACCTCTTGCGGGACTTTTGTCAGGGGGAGGGCATCCTCTAGTCGTTCACGCTTCCGGCCTCTCCGTAGCAGAATGGGATTGCTGAGCGCCGCATTGGCTTAGTCATGGAGGTGGCTCGTACCTCCATGATCCATGCGGCTGCTCCCCATTTTATGTGGCCGTTTGCGGTCCGATACGCTGCGCATCAGCTCAACCTCTGGCCCCGTGTCTCCTTGCCGGAGACCTCGCCCGCACGTCGTTGGACGGGAGAGGCTGGCGATGCGTCGCGTTTCCGGGTCTGGGGCTCCCGTGCTTTTGTCCGCGATACCATCGCGGACGTGCTCTCCTCTCGCGACGTTCCCTGCATCTTCCTTGGCTTTCCCACTGACGCGCCTGGCTAGCAGTTTTACCACCCCACCTCGCGCCGTGTCTTCGCGTCCCAGGACGTCACGTTTGACGCGCCGCTCTTCCTCACTCTAGGTCCCCCTCTGGTAGACCCCTTCCCACCTCAGGGTCCTGCTCCTTCAGG